GCACGTCAACAGAACGCTTGTTTGCCTCAATCACCTCTTCCACCCTGGCTATTGTCACCTCTTCCACCTCAAGGCTCACCACCTCATCCATCTTGGGGCTTGCCCCCTTCTCCGCCCCGGCTACTGTCACTTCCTCCACCTCGGGGCTTGCCACCTCCTCCACCCCGGCTACCGCCACTTCCTCCATCTCGAGGCTTGCCCTCTTCTCCGCCTCGCCTACCATCACCTCCTCCACCTCGGGGCTCGTCACCTCCTCCACCCCAGCTACCACCACCTCCTCCACCTCGGGGCTCGCCACCTCCTCAGCCCCGGGGACTGCCACCTCCTTTACCATCCCTTCCATTCCCTTCCGCTCCACAGATAATAGAAAATATTCCAATGCATCATCGGACCACAACTGCCGGTGACCCTCATCTCTATCACCCCCATCTCTATCACCATCTCTGTCACCCTCCGGTCACCATCTCCGTCAACCCATTGCCTGTCGGCTATATCACCTCGAAGTGCTTCGATCTCATCCTGAAACACCCTAACATCAGCGGACAAATCTTGAACCTTTCCTACCAGATCATCGACCCTATCTATCATCTCTCGACGCAACCCATTTACCTGCTCCGCTATAAATTCACTCAGATGGGCATACAGATCATCAAAACTCTGACTATGTGCGGGAGATCCACGGGGGAGGTCCCTGGACAGGGTCGCCGGAGGTGATGTCCTCTGGGGCGGAGGTAATGCCCTCTGCGGCGAAGGTGATGCCCGTGGGGGCAGAGGTGATGCCCTCCTCAGCGGAGGCGATGCCCTCGGGGGCGGAGGTCGTAGATCAACTGGACCACGCTCTTACACAAACAACAATATTATAAATTATTAACTTGATCCGTAATTACTAACTCATACAAAATGGTAATTAATAAATTATATTCAATTCACTCGCCCAATCTCCATCGTCCATTGAATCGGACATCTGGTCGTCTTGGGTGCGCGGAAGGCCGAATTCATGCACACAACCCTGAGCTTCCTCCTCCATTGACTGCGTCAACTTAGATATAACTTCAAGCTGACATATTGACATTTGAATTAGTTAATGATCATGTAATCAAATTTTAAATTACGTACAATATAAACCACAAATACATAATACTCACCTGAGGATCATCGAGGAGCACCGATAACTATCTCCCAGTGGGACATCCCTCCGCTCGAGATGCTCTCCAATGGTGCATCCGAGGGCGTCAACAGAACGCTTGTTTGCCTCAATCACCTCTTCCACCCTGGCTATTGTCACCTCTTCCACCTCAAGGCTCACCACCTCCTCCATCTTGGGGCTTGCCCCCTTCTCCGCCCCGGCTACTGTCACTTCCTCCACCTCGGGGCTTGCCACCTCCTCCACCCCGGCTACCGCCACTTCCTCCATCTCGAGGCTTGCCCTCTTCTCTGCCTCGCCTACCATCACCTCCTCCACCTCGGGGCTCGTCACCTCCTCCACCCCAGCTACCACCACCTCCTCCACCTCGGGGCTCGCCACCTCCTCAGCCCCGGGGACTGCCACCTCCTTTACCATCCCTTCCATTCCCTTCCGCTCCACAGATAATAGAAAATATTCCAATGCATCATCGGACCACAACTGCCGGTGACCCTCATCTCTATCACCCCCATCTCTATCACCATCTCTGTCACCCTCCGGTCACCATCTCCGTCAACCCATCGCCTGTCGGCTATATCACCTCGAAGTGCTTCGATCTCATCCTGAAACACCCTAACATCAGCGGACAAATCTTGGACCTTTCCTACCAGATCGTCGACCCTATCTATCATCTCTCGACGCAACCCATTAACCTGCTCCGCTATAAATTCACTCAGATGGGCATACAGATCATCAAAACTCTGACTATGTGCGGGAGATCCACGGGGGAGGTCCCTGGACAGGGTCGCCGGAGGTGATGTCCTCTGGGGCGGAGGTAATGCCCTCTGCGGCGAAGGTGATGCCCGTGGGGGCAGAGGTGATGCCCTCCTCAGCGGAGGCGATGCCCTCGGGGGCGGAGGTCGTAGATCAACTGGACCACGCTCTTACACAAACAACAATATTATAAATTATTAACTTGATCCGTAATTACTAACTCATACAAAATGGTAATTAATAAATTATATTCAATTCACTCGCCCAATCTCGATCGTCCATTGAATCGGACATCTGGTCGTCTTGGGTGCGCGGAAGGCCGAATTCATGCACACAACCCTGAGCTTCCTCCTCCATCGACTGCGTCAACTTAGATATAACTTCAAGCTGACATATTGACATTTGAATTAGTTAATGATCATGTAATCAAATTTTAAATTACGTACAATATAAACCACAAATACATAATACTCACCTGAGGATCATCGAGGAGCACCGATAACTATCTCCCAGTGGGACATCCCTCCGCTCGAGATGCTCTCCAATGGTGCATCCGAGGGCAGATTGTCTCCCTCGCCTTACAAAGTGGGTACCAATAGAGGGACGGTCTCGTACGCTCAAATCTGTAACACATACAATTATTATATACAAATTCAATAGGGAAAATAATTTAACATTGATTATGTTAATCATGTACATACATCGCTAGGGGCAATCTATAAGTGTCGTACTTGCGCATGGCCCCCTTGGACTTCGAGTACAATCGGGTAAAGACGTGTACGAAAATATGAAATTAAAATTTAAAAATAAATAATTAAAAAATTACAATTACAAAAATTAATTAAATTTGATAAACGAAAAGAATATTGTTTATAAAAAATAATTAATAAAAATAAATATGAAATTTAAATTTAAAATTAAATAATTATTCAAAATTACAATGACAAGAAATAATGAAATTCAATTAACGAAAAGAATATTATTTATAAAAAAAATATTAATAAAAATAGAAACGAAATTTAAAATTAAATAATCATTCTAAATAATAATGACAAAAATTAATGAAATTCGATTAAAGAAAAGAATATTATTTATAAAAAACTATTAATAAAACTAAATGTGAAATTTAAATTTAAAATTAAAAGAGTTATTAAATATTACAATTATGAAAATTAATTAAATTCGAGAACGAAAAGAATATTATTTATAAAAAAAACAATTAACAAAATTAAATATGAAATTAAAAATTAAAATTAAATAATTATTAAAAATTACAATTTCAAAAATTAATTAAATTCGATAAACGAAAAGAATATTATTTATAAAAAAATAATTAATAAAAATATATATGAAATTTAAAATTAAAATTAAATAATTATTAAAAATTAAAATTTCAAAAATTAATTAAATTCGATGAACAAAAATAATATTATTTCTAAGAAACAATTAATAAAATTAAATATGAAATTTAAAAATCAAATAATTATTCAAAATTACAATGACAAGAATGAATGAAATTCGATTAACGAAAAGAATATTATTTATAAAAAAATATTAATAGAAATAAAAACGAAATTTAAAATTAATTAATTATTCAGAATTGCAATGACAAAAATTAATGAAATTCGATTAACGAATAGAATATTATTTATAAAAAACTATTAATAAAACTAAATATGAAATTTAAATTTAAAATTAAAAGAATTATTAAATATTACAATTCTAAAAATTAATTAAATTCGAGAATGAAAAGAATATTATTTATAAAAAACAATTAATAAAATTAAATATGAAATATAAATTTAAAATTAAATAATTATTAAAAATTCAATTACAAAAATTAATTAAATTCGATGAACGAAAAGAATATTATTTCCAAAAAATAATTAATAAAATTAAATATGAAATTTAAAAATTAAATAATTATTCAAAATTACAATGACAAGAATTAATGAAATTCGATTAACGAAAAGAATATTATTTACAAAAAAACTATTAATAAAAATAAAAACGAAATTTAAAATTAAATAATTATTCAAAATTACAATGACAAAAATTAATGAAATTCGAGTAACGAAAAGAATATTATTTATAAAAACTATTAATAGAACTAAATATGAAATTTAAATTTAAAATTAAAAGAATTGTTAAATATTACAATTATAAAAATTAATTAAATTCAAGAATGAAAAATTATTATTTATCAAAAATGAGGAAATTAAAATAAATTTTCAAATTAAAATTTAAAATAAAAATTTTATTTAAATTTGACAAATAAATAAATTATTATTTATTAAAAACTAATAATTAAAATTATTTAAAATGAAATTCTTAAATATATGTAAGAAAAAAAATAAAAAAAACTAAAGGCAGCGTGCCGACCGTAACAGTCGACCTGCTTAACAGTTAATGGGTTGACTAAATAGTTAGCCCAAATAATGAGCCGACTGTTAATAGGTCCAAATTTAAAAAAAAAAAAATTGTTATTAGGCCGACCATAACGGTCGGTCCACTTAACAGTCATGGACTAACTCAGCCCATGAAAAAACAAAACACAATCATAGGCTGACTATAACAGTCAGCCCATGACAATTGGGCCAACCAGCTGTTAACAGTCGGGTTATCAGCCGACTGTTAACAATTAGGTTTTTCCCAAAATGTCGACTGCGTTTGCAGTCGGCAGTTTTTCCGACTTTTCTCGCAGGAAAATCTCCATTTCCGATGAGAAAAGCTTGCAAATCTCAAAATCCACCTATTATCTCCAATTTAGACCCAAATTCATACTTCTACACTTACATAACCAATAATACATTTCAAAAACCTTCACAAATTCAACATTCACACACAATATGAAAATCTGAACATTAATCTAGTTAATTAACAACTCGAAATTTACCTTAACAAGAAGGTCACTTATTATGAATTGAAAACGTCTCTGATCGACTGAAAATCGACTGTAGCTTTTCCTTGATTTTGGTTGACTGTAAACAAATGAAAAAGTGACCGTCTGAAGGTATTTTGGGATTTTGACCTTTAAAATTAATTTTCGTTTTTTTTTCTAAAAATTGGTTAAAGGTTACTTTGAAAACATGGGTTATCGGGTAATTTCAATGATTTCCCGGGCTAGGGTTTGAGGGATCTTTTTTATCCTTTCTCGTAAGAAATCTTGGAAAGAAATTGAAGAAAGAAAGAAAATGCAGCAACAACCCCCCCAGTCTATGAATTCTTCGCCTTCAACGCCTCTCAATCTCATCACCACTGAACAGATTCAGAAGGTACAGATTTCCATGCCTTAGGTACAATAAAGTACGTGCTTAATGTATTTGTTTGTCAACGCGAATGTGCGTTGTGTTGATGCGTGTATATACGTCTCTGTGAATGATCAAAACGGAAAATTTTAATTTCTCTGTTTGGATTTTTTGCTTTTTTATTTTTAGTTTTTTACTAAAATTTTAATATTCGGTTTTACTTTGCTTTATTTATTTATTTATTTATTTTCCCCGGGGGGGGGGGGGGGGGGTGTGGGTTTTTTTTTTTTTTTTTTTTTTTTTGTCCCGGGGGGGGGGGGGGGACGTTGTGATTGTTTACATCTCTATTTAAATTCAAATAGCGCGACATTTTTTTCTGTAATTTGGTGGTATATATAAATATGTACATGCATTTATTGATGTTTTTAATCTCATATTAATTTTCCCTTTTTCTTTATAATTCGTTTTTCAATTTTTTAATTCGTTTTTCATATTAAAAAATTGAAAAAAATTTTATTTAGAGGTTATTTGTTTTTGGAATTATTAAGTAGATAATTTCGTCACATTTGGCTATTAAATCATTCTTGAAATCCTGACGCACTAGTGAGCAATGTTCGTTGCAGTACTTGGAGGAGAATAAAAACTTGATTATGGCAATACTGGAAAATCAAAACCTGGGGAAAATGGCTGAATGTGCCCAGTAAGTATCCGTTGATTTCCCTTTAGAATGATTCTCATTGTAATACGGTATATGAGCAGTTGATCCTTTTCATTTGCTATTGTATTGATGCATTTGACTGTCCAATTTTGTTCAGAAATATTGGAAAATATGTATGTAGACATAAATTAGTTATTTTCTTTTGAAAACTGCTTATTACGTTTTAATGAGAAAACAGGTTAATGTGATATATGGTCCAAGTCTCTAGTTGATTTCTACAATGAATCTGCAATAAAGTTCACTTCATCAAAAAGCATGTGGTTCTTGAACGAGGGATCTACTGATGATAACCTTTCGGATGTTCTATGGTATTCTGTATGAACTCTGAACCGTGATAGCTATATTTTGGGGGTATTTGTTTGCCATGTTGTCTTTTATACGTTAGGATATTTTGATTCGCAGAAAATTTCAAACAATAATAACATATTTAGTCTATTAGTTCTTTACCATTAGCATGTATCAGTACATGCCAACTTGGCATGTTTGTCGATATTTATTATCTTTTTCCATATAAGTTTTGTGAGTCTGCATATTTTTCTAATTTCTTAATTGCTAGAAGTTGTGAAGTTAGCGCATAGCATCATATTATGAGTCTTGGAATTTTAAGTGGGGTTTATGCTTCTTAGCCTCAAATGGGTATTGGAAACTTAGAGGCCTGTTGGCACTGTATTTTGGTAAGTGATGTGTGGGTGAGCATACAGAGCTGCAATTATGCTTTTGAAAGGAGATCCGGAAACTTATAAGTCGAAGGGTTTGTTGTTTGTTTGGGAGGGTGCATTGCAGGAGTCTCTATGTGTCAATAAATTATACATGGAGCTGTATTTTCTCATATGTGCTGCTTTTATATTGGTCTTTGTAAGGCCTTATTGACGTGTTTATTGTACTGCCACTGTCGTCGTCGTCAGTCACTGCTGTCACATTTTCATTGTGGTGAATGTGAAATTCTGCATATTTGCTAAAGAAATTCAATGCAAAATAGAATTTTCGACAAGGAAATTTATGACAAGTTAAAATGATTTAGGTATCAAGCTATCCTTCAGAAGAATTTGATGTATTTAGCCGCAGTTGCTGATGCCCAGCCCCCACCAGGACAAACATCATCACAGGTATGTCTTGTAGTTGTCCAATATGTATTACGGATACGTAGTTTCCTGCTAACGCTAATATTGTAATTTCAGGTTCCCACTAGTTCTGTTGCTTCACAAGGAAACTATATGCAGCAGAGTCAAGCTTCAGCAGTTAAACAGCAACATGGTGCCCCAATGGCAAAGTTGCCATTCCAAGTTAATGCCCTCCGGCCTCAAGACCAGCAAAATCAACTACTCCAGTTCCAACAACAGCAACAGATGCAGGGGCACTTCGGCATAGGAGGTGGTGTCAATAACGGCACGCATTTTCTTATGCAACCTGGAGGAGTTGGCAGTTCAGGCAGTTTGATGGATTTGAGAGGAAACCAGCCAGGTGGATTGGAGGCTATTTCTGGTGATGGCCAAGGAAACTCAGGTTTAGGACGTGACGAGGGTAGAGAGTGATCTCCAATGGTTATTCACACTTATAGGTGGTATAAGAAGAAACTTGATTAGGTGATGTTTTGCTTGTTTCTTGTGCTTCATATATGGAACAATATATGGTAAAGTCTTTTTATTTTCCTTTAGTCCTCTTCGTTACACCATCAATGTTTAGTTAAACTTTGCAGCAAGCCATGCATTACTATTTTTCAAATAAATGAGCATGAGACAAAGGGGACCCGTTTTGCTAGTTTTCAGTAGCTAAAGTTTTAAATGCGGAGTTCATTAGAAAGGCATTGAATACTCTGTTTTCCTTTCTTGTTTGTCCCAAATAAACCAGCATGCTGATTTAGCTTAAAATGCTGCCAGTAAGACCATTCTTGCTGCCCAGAAGAATTTTTACCAATTTTGGGCAAAATAAGAAACATGCTCAACTACTATGTTTGATAGAATAAAAGTAACAGTACAACTAAAAGGAATGATGCTATGCAATTCTAAAGAATTTATGAGCAAACCATGTACTGAGCTGCAAGCTAAATCTTGTCGCCTAAGTCAATTACTGAACTGCAACAATCTATGATCTAATATGAGAATTAGTTGAGTCAACGAATCACCATCGTTGCTTCTCTTTCTATTTACCTGTTCTAGAACGATTTCACTTTTTTTTTTTTCACAACACATTATACTTGCAAGAAACGAATACTGATCAAAGAGAATAGTTACCACGAAATACTATCTTATTCGCTGTAATATGGGTGCGATCGCTAATCAACAGAAAGGAGCAAGCAGTCTCCGGAAAAGATTAGTTAAAGAGTGCTGCATCTCTTTCTGTGCTTCCGAGGCACTAGACTTCATTCTCTTTGATACGCTTATTCAATTGATAGTGACTCCTCAGTACCTTACTTTAATTCGATGGGGAGGACTGGAGTAAGAAGCGGGTACTTGCCCTTTCCAACGCACGTTCTGGTGAAAGCACAAGTTTACCCTTCTTTACATCTTGTGCCATCGATAGTTGATCATAGTCCTGACAGAGAACTGTTTTATCCCATTCTATGGGAATGACATGATTTGCATTCAGAAACACGGTCGATACCAAACAACTTTCGAAAAACAAGAGTTTGCAAAAATAACCACTATTTTTCCAATAATTTTAAATCCGAAAGATGCTTGATGCACCAGAACATCAATGCATGTAAAATATACAGTTTCCAGTACACAAAAATACGAAATGAAAACAAGTTCTTCCAATCGAACAGAACATGTGATATAATTCAGCCAGTACACCCAGTCTCATAAAATAAATATTATTGGAGATACCAACTCGAGCATATAACTTGCCTCCTCTCATCATCTCCAATAGCACTTGGTGCACGTTTATCTAGTGATGACATTTCCCAACAGGATCCCAGATAAATTCTACAAAATCAACAACAGAGCAAACGAAATATTAGAACCAATCCAAGGCAAAACAGACATCAACACAAAAGTAGCACGTCTCTGAAGTACGAATTTAAACAAGGGAGCTTCTGAAATGCCTGCAGAGCAAGTGCAAGATCACTTTAAAACCACCTCGAATATCTTGACATAATTAACATGCTAAGTGAACAAATAGAAGAACATGACACCAATTGTACCCTCTAAAACAAATTGGCCAAACTTTACCAGCTGGGTCGCACATGAAGCACAAGCTTGAACATGTATTGCAGATAAAACACAAATAGACATAGTTAATGAAACACAAGTGCAACACATATAGCTAAAGAAATGCACCCAGTCACATAGCACATCTCCTTGGTATACGTAACATTTGAGCTTTGTCCCCAACTGAAATATAAAAATCACAGTGAAGGCTTGCATTTGTAATGATAATTACACCATGAGCCATTCCGCATCATCCCCTTTATTTTAAATTTTAAAACACTTTTATATGCTTTCAAATTCACGTTTCAAGAAGTCTCAGAATCCCATATAAAAATTGGAGGGAAGAGATGCACATAAAGCATTGTCCACAAGCTAAAGAGAAGCATAAAGCATATTATCTACTTTAGAAAGAAATGTAACACAAAAACACAGCATAGTAAAAAATTATAATGAACTTACCATCTTCTAGGACTTGATGCAGCACTAGTTGCCCTGGCAAAAGCAAGAGTTGATTTCAGTAAGCTTCTATTCAGACATAAGCAAAGAATTAATCAGTTACATGAAATTCTGGAGTCAATACCTGCCCTGTTGTTTGCCTGCTAAACTTGCTCCAGGCTTCCCATGAGTTGCAACCTTCCTTTGGGAAACACCATCTTTATCAGTGTTTATTCCATTTCCAACTGTCAATAGTTCAGAGTTCTCAGATCCATTCAGTTCCATGTGATCCTTAGGTTTGCTCAAAATTTTAATATTTGAGACTGCCCCAGAAACACTAAAGGAGGCACCATTCACATTCTGATTCCGAATTGTAGAGAACTTAGAAGGATTGCCAGCAATATGTGAGGGTCTAGAGGCTGCAATCTCATTGAAATTGGTCTTATCAGCATTTGCAGATGTAAATTCAAGAGAGGAGACCTTCAATCGGTGGGCTTGTGCCATGGGAGTGACTGCCACAGAAGGTAACAGTGTTGGATACGAAGATGGAGGTGCAGCTGCTGCTGCAGCAACTTTAGCAACAGCTGCTGTGGCTGCTATTATTTCTTGTGCACCTTCTCGAAGCTGAATGTAGTCCCCCTCAATAACAAATAACTAAAAAACATAAAAGAACCGTCAATGCCTAACATAAAGCCCTATCAAATATTCAAAGCAGAAAAACAAACAGCAAGGGGGCATACTTCAGTATGACCAGCCACAAAGTCATCAAGCTTCCCATACTTCTTATAATCGTGCCAGTGAAAGGGGGCAAGCATCTTTCCAAGTCTATTTGGAAGCTGTCACAAAAACAATGCATCATCAAGCAAATAGTTATTTCATGAGTAATACTGAAAATATAATAAATCAATTTAACTGACCGTTGCACTAATCCTAATTCTACCACCAGATCCAATTGTTCGAACTATGCAAGCTAGCAATGATCTTTCATCAAGGAGAGAAATCTCTGCAGGCGTTTCAATCACATATGAATTTTTCTGCCCGGTGGAAACAGTGGCATCAGACGAAACTGCACCTGAGACATTGTTCATCGTCGTTGTTCCGATATTTACAGCATGAATAAGTGCCTCAGACAAGGGTACATTCACAGTAAAATTAGGTTGTTCCATCATTAAACTTCTGTTTTCTAGTCTATGATCTGTCACAGGGCTGTCATTCTTCTCCTATCCAGTTACATATCAAGATAAACTCTTGATCAATAATGACTAGAACCAGCATCGCCATAAAAAAAAAAATTAAAAAAATAATGATGACGATGATGATGATAAAGACAAAAACGTCGTATTGATTAAATTAAAAAGCGAACAAAACCTTGATCTCATTACTGTGTTCTAGAGTATCCAATCTAAGCAAATCATGAAACTGCGAAGAAACTTGTTGCAAGCTCTGAGGAGATTGGGTTCCAGCTGGGTAGCTTTCATCTACAGACTCGAGAACCTGAACAATGATCACAGTAACTGAATAGGGCTAAATATTTGAAAGTATTGTGATTAATTCTTTCTTTGAACTAACTACCTGCCCCTCTTTATTTGGTGGTGGAACCATGGAGTTAGGCTCTATCCCTCGACTGATATTGGCATCAAAATAATTAGAAGAAAGAACTTGCCCATTTACAGATACTTCATAGTCATAACTAGAAGCAGCTCCCGATGAGGTCTGTTCAGCTTGCAGAGGAAATTGTTGGTGGATAGGCATCTGTTGGCCATCTGATACAGTCTAACCACAAGGAAAGAACAGCCACGATTACCAAAACTTACAAAGTATAACCAATAATACAACACGTTTTAATTGATTACCTGTTGGTTCTGTGAAGGTTGAAGAGATGACATAGTAGGTACAGTCTGGAAAATAGATTGTGTGACATTTGACGGTATTGTACGGGGCAACCCTTGTTGATGCATTACAAAAGGATGCAAAGCAGTCACCTGAACAGGTGGAAGGTAGGGTGGCAACCCAAGCAGGGATGGAGGAGCAAATGGAACAGCATGAGCATCAGTCTACAGTGAAAACATAAATTTCAGAATATATGAAAAAATCAATGTGTATGTTGTGCATTTCTGGCAATTGAAGTGTTAGTAGTGCTCTTATCTATTCTCTAGATTTTTCCCCTCACATGGGAAGGAGATGAGAAATCTAATTTTATCATCCAAAGAAAGTAAGAAATAACAGGACAGACCGAGTTGCAAAAATCACATCAGTGATTGGGGGGATGAACCTATTCTTTATCAGTGAAACATAGAGCAATAAACAGGTTATCAAACCAAGCTGCACGATTATTCTATACATCAACATCCAAAGTAAACAATATAGCAGAGAATGAGGTATATGATCCAAAAATAATGAACACAGACTTTAATATCGCCCTCACATGCATCTGGCACAACTTACAGGAATTGGGCAAAATCCAGAATAAAAACAGAAACCTGTGTTGGCATGTTCCCTCCCGGAACAAAAGACGAGGCAACTTCAACATTCCCATTTAGTAGGCTAGCAGAGTTTTCACCTGGTGTCCCATTTCCATTCACCTCCAGCAGGCTACCATTGCTTTGTCCAACTTCAGAAGCATCTTTTGAATTTATCTGAGAGTAACTTCCACTCTTTTCTCTAGCATCGGCCAATTCAAGCTGGAGTTGTTGCATATGCAGATGAAATCTCTCCATCTCACCAAACTAATGAATTCAATATATCTAATGAGTCTAATTGAAAACAGATTTCAAATCAAAATTTAGCATTTGTACATTGAGGACTAAAAATACTTTGATAAATTAACCACCTGTCTCTGACAAACAAGCCATAGTTGATTATACTGCTCAATACGTTCTCGTAGTTCAGCCTGTAAGGTATGGTTGGTAGTTGATTGTAAAGCATCCATTTCCTGAGCACGAGTAATCCAAGCTTGTGCCTCTCTTAATTGCTCATCTTTGAAAACAATGGTTTCTTGTGCAATCCTATGCTGAAATACAATAATTAAGTCTAAGTTCACCCCCACAAAGTAAAATATACCCCCTTCAAAGTACTTTAATTAGACAGAAGAGAGGCAGGACACACTGACTAACATTTCAAGAGACAACTTTTAAGTCAAAATAAACCATTTTACGAAAAGCACGGGCAGAGCACAGAGCACTACATGTCATAAGATAAGCAATAATTGAGTGGTTTAAGCTTACTGAATAAGCTCAAATGTGCAATTACTATGTCATGGATATCCTTTAAACCTTTGAAAAGTATTTGAATACAACAAATAAAAGACAAACAAACGAGATAGTAACCTGATCAAAACTTCAGAAAATTTGATCAACAAAGACTTCCCTGATGTTCATCTTGGCTATAATAAATGACATACCTGTTCCTGCAACTCCATGAGCTGACGTTCTTTTTCTTGAACATGTTCCTGAAGATCATGGATTTGTCTGATATGCAGCGCCCTTTCAGCTTCAGTGCTATCCCTCTCTCTCCTGCAAAAGAACACAGTTCCCTCAATTATAAATTTATGAGGGTTTGAACACTTTAAGAAGGTGAAGTAAGATTTGAAACCAAACCAAAAGTTTACTTTAATAATAGTTTGATCTGCCAGAGCTAGGAATAATATGATACATCAATAACTTAGATTCTGAATCAAGTGCTTAATAGTAAATCACTTGTTCTAAACAAATAAATTGTAAAACTTCAAGCACGTTACAGTGAACATCTCATATAATTGAACAATCAAAATAGACGAGTGAAAAATAGCCAACACAAACACAAATGAGTTCCAATCCAAACACGGGGCAAACCTGAAGCTTTGAAGCTCCTTGCTTTGTTCCCTCAGAAGATCCTCTTTGGCCCAAGCCTGCTACAGTTAATTTTTGTTTAGCAAAACAGTCACCGGGAAATAAGAATTAGTGGCTGATAACCTAAATTGATGAGAAACAAACTGCCATAAGAATCGCAAACTAACCGCTTCTTTATCTAATCTAATTCCATTCAGCTCCCTTTCATTCTCTTCCATCTTTCTCTCAAGCTCTTGAATCTTCTGTTCCTTTTCATGCAGTTGCTCCTAAACAACCAATCACACCCAATATTCCTCAACAAACCCCAATGAATGCCAACACACACACACACACACACACACACACTAACATAGCTAAAAAAACACACACTGGTAATTGGCCCAAAGAATAGAGCAAAACCTGAAATTTGACATTTGCATTCACGTGCTCTTTGATCTGTGCATCATATGACTTCTGCATTTCCATAATCTCAGATCTTATAATGACTTGTGCCCGAAGTTCAATCTCCATGTGCTGCAATTCCTCTCTTTGTTTCGCCACCGTTAGAAGTCTTTGCTGCAAAATATCATTGTCCAAACCCCTGTCAATAGTTATTGAGCAGAAATCCACATCCGTGGGCTCTCTTCCCTGCTGCACCTTAATATAACACTCCAAATCACCTTCATCTTCACTCAGAAAATGAAAGTAACAAGTAAAAAGAGAATTATAAATGAGTTTATATAGAAAGCAGTTACCTCATATATCAATCTTTCATCAGACTGACCTAGCTTGGAAAGCTCCTACATGCGGCCGATTAAAAAAAAAAAAAAAAAAAAAGAAAAAAAGAACAGCAAATGTAAGGACCCAGAAAAAATAGCAAACCCTAACTTTCAGAAACACGTTTAAAATAAAAATAATTTCCTCTACACACAAATAAAGAAACAGATGTTTCAGATCAAAATAAAGCAATGCAAGTATATATACCTCACTAGTGGAGTTTCGAGCCGATTGCTCGGTAACTACCCGCCACTCCTTACGAGAAGACTGAGATGTCGTTGACATCGGCATAGAAACACCGCGTACGACGGCGACACCGGCCGCGGCATCCATTTTTAAATTTACAATACAATACTCCAATTTCCTTACCCTCGAAAAAGAAAAACGAGACAAAAAAAAGCCCTGATTTCGCTTTATACCCTAAACAACAAAAAAGTAGATAAAACGTATGGTGTCAAAATTATTATCAAACAGAAAGAGTCGAATGGAATGATGGATTTCGTACCTTTGGCTGCTGTTGATTTTCACAGATTTGGGTTTAGGGGGTTTTACTTACAATGTAGGGTTTCCTAAGGGACTGGATAGTGAAATAAGTAAAAATCGTTGACGCCAGTGAAGATTAGAGGTATGAGAGACTCCCGCCATTTATAGGGCAAGTGGTGAAGAAATCGTGAGACCCACGCGCTCCATAGACACTAGTAATCCAATCAGTTAAGCAACACAATTGAACAAATGAGATAAACTAGGTACATGGCAGCGGAAAAAGCAAGTGAACGAGTCACTTTATTTCCGTTCCAACACCTAAAGTAACACTAAGCCCTGTTTGATCCCCATTAAATTTAATTACATTAAATTTCATTTTTCTCTCTCCTATTTTCAATTACACGATCTTCTATAAAATAATATTACACGTAAATCGAAAATTTTTCCTTCTTTTTCAACCACTCATTTTTCTAAAAAATATTATTTCCTCCATTTTCATTTTCAAGTAATGGGGGGTCAAACGGGAGCTAAGTCACACTGTGTGTCGAAGAATTGCTAAGATATTAGAAATAATTATATATTTCGAACGAGAATATTTTTATTAATTTCAAGCCTTGGATGACTTCAAGGTCTTTACATTTGATATTTTCAATCTTCATCCCAATTTCTTTTGCAAAAATGAGCATTTTTCGAAGTGCTATGAATGACGTCTTTGTTTGGAGCACACAATAATAACATGCCCTGATAGTATTATATCTCAATATATCATTGCTCAACACGCGCCGCAATATCAAAATTCAATTTCAAACTTTGCTCTTATGAGGCCAGCATTTTTCTAATCTCCCTTTCTCAATCTTCGAACTACGATAATTGTTGAAGTTTATTATGTAAGCTGATACTTTGGATGATCTACTTTTTTAGTTAGAGGTACAAACTGAAATACTAAACCTAACTCATTTGACTACATGAATTCACTTTCTAATAGTACTTTTATGTTTTGATGATGTAGTACGAGGGCAAGGCTCCAAATTTAGCTCTTAATTATTAGACAAAAAAAAATATATTTTAGTCCATGTTTTGCTCTCATTTTTTAAAATTCATTTTCTTCAATCATTTCCAAGCATGTTTCATGAGATCCGCAAATTTCATTAACTTTTCAATTATGCATTTGTTTGATAGAATTTTTTTGGAAATAATGGGTTTTTGAATAGTAAATTTTGGAAGAATGTATAGTTAAAATGTAAGGAAAATGTCTTGGTTTACACGAAAAATATTTTATGGAGAGAATATATGGTTAAAAATGAGCATATATTTGTTTAAACCCCATTTTCCCAAAACTCATTTTTATGAAAATTCATTTTTAAATATACATTCTCTTAATAAAATAATTTTATATATAAACTCAAAATTTTTCCTTACATTTGAACCACACATTCTCCAAAGAAATCACGATTTCAAAATCTATTACTTTAAAAAATAGGGCTCAAACAATGGCTATTTCATCGACTTTTATTAAAATCTGTTAAAGTTTTTGTTTTTATCCCGACTAAACAGGGGCTTAGATTATCAATGAATTATTAACATAAACCAACATTCTTTTGTATATTAGGTAAGAATATGGGTTTTGCATGTGGTAAAACATAAACCAACATTCTTTTGTATATTAGTTAAGAATATGGGTTTTGCATGTGGTAAAATTTTGTTACGTTATTGAAATTTTTAAAAAATAATATTTTTGTTAAATAATAATAATTAAATTGAAAATTACATAAATACAACCATATTCAAAGCTTGTATAAATAAAACTTTGATAGATAATGATTTTCTCTAACTAATTAAAATTTTGTATCAACAAATTTGACATTTTTTATGCGCACACAAGCCATGCGGTAATCAACTAAACAACATGCCTCGCATCACCTGTTCCACTAACATTTTTCGAGGTGATTAGGTCATGCATTTAGGCACCTCGCCTGGGATGATTGTTATCTGAGGAAATACATTACATCTCTACTGTAATGAATATTCAAGGTGATCGGCATCTATTGCAAGCCTCATCTCAATCAAACTGCATAAAATACATGGCACAGAGTGATAGATGTAACAACTTTGCAAGCGACAATGGCCTAACATATTACAGCTTTCTGGCTTTGAGAGCCATAGGTCTATGATGGCTATAGATTGATATAAGAGCTATTCTTGGGTGACAATCCCTTGGACGTCCAGGGAGTTGTCACAAGGGCTTTAGCCTTGATATATTGAACATGATAAGTAAGCCTTTACGATGAGGCCACTAATCAAGTATCCAAATAGGCCTCTTCCACCTATAAATACTTGGTCATCTCTTCTTCAAAGATAATGACAATGTTAACATTGAATTGCAATCTTGATAATTCCCTTTTTCAATCCAACACTCATATTTTCATCTGTTATGACTTTCTTACATCCAAATATTCTTCTTTGTCTGACTTGAGCATCTAAGTTCATTTGACAGTCGTATCCCATCAAAGCTACGATTTTGTGTAGTCTAGCATAGTTCTCACATGTGTAGATAACAGGCAAGTGGACGAAAAAGGAGTTGGGATCTGTTAACAGTTGGATCTCGTTGAATTTGAAAGTCAACAAATTGACAACGTCTTTAAAAAATAACATTGTTGTTCTTGAAGAAAAGTGGTAGCTTTGAAAAAATCAGCCTAAAGGGATCTTCAATTATGTATCTTTGTCCTTGAAAAAAGAATAGGTGATATCTTGAAGCATTACCCTTGAAAAATGAGAATATTTGGCCTCATTTAGAAATATTTGCCCTTAAAAAAGAGCACTTTCTTTGGTTTATCCTTGAAAAGACCTATCCTTTGAGAAAAAGCAAAATCTATTTCAAGAAAAATGATATTTTCAATAAAAAATGAGTGAAAGTGAATAGCATGAGATAATTCATGTGGGAGCTTGACGGCTCAAATCCCACTAAACATATGAATATATAATAGCACATGATTGAACCTTGGGCTTCTTTGATTAAATAATTTTTTTTATTGTTGATTTTAACCATCTTAAATAAAATCACTAGATGACAAAGATGTGCAGATTGCTACACTCATGGATAGAATGGAGTTATAAAATCTGTTTGTAGAACGCAATCTAGAAAATGCAAGGTTTTCAATAATGACCTTTGGAATTCCAAGAATGCCAGCAGAAATAGGACATGCACAATCGAACGATAGTGCAAAATGTGTTGCATGACAATGCTAAAATCTTTCTTGGCTCTTCATCTATCCAAAAACTCCACCATATGATTGCAGACACCATCCATGCCTAGTATGGTGGCTCACCACAATCTTCATTGTTTTATCCTAAACTCTAAAGTCGTTAAATTTACGAAATGATGATGCCACTTAGCTACTAACCCCCAGAGATCTAATGTTTTGATGGAAAGGGAATCCAAAACAACATGTTGCTCATTTCATTGAAACGTGTAACAATACAAGCACTTACAGTGATACCATTGTGAAGTAATTCGTATGTTTCCTTAAAAGGTGCAGTGTTTGAATAGTATACGGACTTATCGATTCGATCAGTTAATAATTGGGATCCACTTTAATGACAATTCTTGACATGTTTCTATAGCACCAAGGAAACAATTAACTTCTCGAAACTTGCTTGAACGATGCAGAGCAAAGAAAAGCCAATTGTTAGATATATTGGATGTTGGAAAAATCTTGTGCTTAACTGCAAAGAACGCATCAGTGACGCATCTTCCATCAACATCTGTGTACATGACATGTATTAGAGATTACTATATAATCTCCAAGCAAATATGTCCACTCATTTGAAGAGTTGGCCACATGTGCTCACGATTTGGAGCTACAGAATGCAACTCGCGAAAGATAATAGCCAAGTGATCTACGAGATAAGAAAGATCCTAAGAAAGAAATAAGTAGAGATGCCAAGATAGGTAAGTCCAAAGAAGATATGACAATCTCTATGACCCAGCAAAGATAGCCTTTCAAAAATCGAGTTCAAATTCGAAGCTAAAATGAAGTTTAGATTTAATAAAGGACAGGTTCAAAGCAGAGGTCATATGACTCTAAAACTTGATTAAAAGAAGTAACCATTATCAAATTTTGAAGTTTTTGAAATCCTAGATCAACTAATTAAACAGAAGATAATCGAGCTTCCAATACCAAAAGACCGGAAGAAGTTGGTAAGACCGATCATCCCAAATACTACAAATTTCACAAAATCATTAGTCATCCAATGGAGAGATGTTTCATGCTAAAAGATCTTATTATTTGCTTGGACAAAAAAAAAAAAAAAATAAGATCAAACTTGCCAACTACTACTTGCTTGATGGTCTCATGTGGGTCATTTGATCAAATTATCGTTACAAAGGAGGAGTAGACATTCCCTCTTACATATAATGCAAGTAAGTCCTTAGTTGATGTGGCTGAGTTTGGACTTCAACTTCCAAAAGAAGCTATCCTGATGGAGTTTGAGGTAGACAAAGAAGTCAACATCACATACATCTACATAGGGATGAAAAAGCCACATACACCCTATCGTCCAACCTTTTACGAAATTATGACAAATGACTTGGATGTGTTGGAATTATGACTCAGAGTCCGAGATGAAGATGATATTAGTGATGGCTGGTCCATGTTCATAAGTACGAAGGAAAAATATCGGATGATAGATAAAACATGTAAAATACCACATTTTCCTTAAGTCTTACTTAAGGGAAAGGGCATGGATTCGAATCCTAGAGAATGCGACAGAAAGTTGTGAGGGATAAGCAAAAGGATGTTCACCCAAAATAGATAGTACGTACGATATAACGGGCTGAGCATGAGGCCCGATCGTCACAAACAATGGGTTTGTTCAATTAATACAAGGATTTAACCCGTCTTACTTAATGAAAAGGTCATAGGTTCGAATTCCGGGAATGTGGTAGAAATCCTAAGAGGAAAAGTGGACAAATGCCCACCTAGAGCACATAGTATAAAAGTTAATGGTTTGGGTATAAAGGTTGATCATTAAAAAAAAAATACACTTTTTTTGTAACAACATTGGCTTTGTGCCCAAGCCATAATATCATATATACTGTCTGTTATGGGAGAGCTAGAGTCTATCTTATCTCTCACAAATTTCTATCGTTCCCCAAATTTCAAGCCCATAACCTTTCC